AATATAAAATTCAAAGTATAATTATATATATATATATTTGAAATATATGTGTGTATATAGAATATAATATGTATATGTGATATATATATATATATATTATGTTAGTTTTAAATTTAATTTTATGTGAGAGATTAAATTTAAATAACTAACATGATATGAGAGAATATCATGTCAATTATATAATTTAAATATATGAAATAAATTTAATTAAATTTTGTGGGCTCTTAAAATAGAAGGTGAAAATCCTAATTTATATATTATATATAGATATGGACGTGTTTCATGTGTGTGAGAAAGTTAGAAAAGTCCCGACAACAAAAGTGTCATTCGAGCGCTAGCACATCGTTTAAGTTGAAATATGTTTGTGTAAATACCAGCAGAGGAAGTAAATCTATATTGTCAGCTTCTAAAATCTAATTTCTTGAAGACAATATGTGAAGAGCTTGCACTTAAAAAGGTACTTGTTCTATTCACCTTGACTTAAACTAGTTTATTCAATCTATATCATGATGGAGATTTAAAATTTTAATATTCCATTGCGCCTCCCTATCCAACAACTTGTTTGCAATTAAAAATATAAATGAGTTGACAAACTTTTCCTTATAAACAAATGCAAAAAAAAAATGTTTATTGAAGTCACATTTTTTGTGCAAGATATCTTTCTCCTCACTTTGAAGCTATTCTATTCGCCTTCAATTTTTATTTTAGGTAGAGTGGGTTATCTTGCAATTTGTAATTACATGCATTACTATGTTTTTCCATTTTACATATCTCTTTCTTCTCTATCTTTCTTTGATAATAAAAAGTTTACATGGGGTAGACGTCTATAACTCATCAGGACTAAGGTAGACCTTCTAACCTCTTTGAAGATTTTTGAGAGAGATTACAAATCGTCCATCAATAAATGCCTCACATCAGTCAATGAGATTCGAACCTTCACCCTTATAGGGTAAAGGCTGAGTCCTTGACTAACTGTGCCACGCCTTCGTTGGCTTCTTCTCCATCTTTCTAATTGGAATCGTGTGGTTTTCTCTACTATGTGGGAAATAAATGCTCAATTTTACACTGTAACCCCTCCCCCCCCCCCCCCCAAAAAAAATGCCGGGTATAGCTAGCAAAAAGGGTAACGTTGTTGGTGTGTGTGTGAGAAAATACGCATGTTGTGATTTTTGAGTAAAATAGTACTGAAAAAGCATTGAGCGGAAGAATTGTGTTGCTCCTTTCTTGTCCTAAAGATTGCTGCAATGTGTAAACAATTTTGTTTTTTATTGTATTTGTGATAACACGTGCATCAATGTTGAACAATGTAAAGTGAGTGTTGAATTAGTTGGAAATATTATAAGGATTGTTATGAAATAATAAGTAGTATGTTGCTTCTTGTTCTTCCCAGCTTTGTTCACTTGTGGAAAGTACTTTAGCAAAAGGTATATTTTTTAAGTTTTACATTGAAGGACATTTTTTTTGTTAAAGATTCATAAAGAAAGATGCAATACAAGGGAGAGATTAATTTTTAAATTGATTGAAAAAAACATGAATAATTAAAAGTTGTTGAGCATAGTATCATTACTAACCAAGATCGAAAGTATTACAATTGACTTGAAATTTATAATCAGGTTTTGTGTGAATACATTCATAAATTTTGTTGACGCTGAAGGAGTACAATATTTGATAAAATATAATGATGAATATGTACATGTATTTGTTAAGAGGAATGGTAATGAAATTACAAATGGAGCAACATATTTTTTTTAATGGGGTAAGTTATTCTTAACTATTAGTGATTTAAATTAGTTTAATTATTAATTGTGAATGTATGATGGATGATTTTTGGTGTGGTCATTGTCAATATCTCCATCCAGGTTGGAACTTGAAGCTATATCTTCTACTTTGTCATTGTCATTGACAAATGGAAATGGAATTTCAGAAAGACACTTGAGATCCACAAGGAATCAATTATATATATATATATATATATATATAAGACAATCACTTGTGAATATCTATAATTGTCTCTCTAAACACACTTATTTGAGAAATTAAGAAAGACATATTGTAATTATTTGTGAAGTAACAACCATGTGAATTTTTAGTCCATAGAGATTTGTTCATTGAAAGGTCAATTGTGAATCTCATAACAGTCATTTATTAATTTTTGAAAGAAAGTCAAGCATACAAAATATATGCAATAAAACAAAAGGAAAGGACAAATTAAATGACAAAAGTAGTTATGAGGAAGTATAAGAATTATTAAAGTCATCCAACAGTTACTTGGAACTACACCAAGCAATAGTCTTATCGTTAAATGGAAGAAGCATGGTAGCTATGCATGTCTTGGCTCAAACTGCTCGACAAATTACAACTTGTTCCGCTACTTAGATTAGATCCCTACCAAAGAAGATGAATGTGCCCACTGCCAAATATCCATCAAATTCCAAGTTTGCCCCATCTAAAACTGTTGAATCCAATATAATGGAGCAGGCCACGAAACCGAAAAGCTTTTTGATTTCATCAAAGGAGGATTTTTAAAAAAAATAGTACCTTGTAAGTGAACTCCATCCATTGCAATTCCAACTACCATAATAATTGTTTCTGTTTCATTTGAATTTTATGCATTCAAATTTCATGAGTGTATACTAGAATTTGTACTAAGCAAATTTCCTTGAGTGGAGCGATCAACAAGTTTGAAACAAAAAAGGACCCCTATCATCCATAAAAATTTTGCTTTTAGAAAGATTTTGAAGTGAATCCCAATTACAGGAGACCTTAAGAAAAGAAATTTGCCCATCAAATTCTTGAATGACCTGATCAGGGGTAACCATAATCCCTTCATGTAGAACCAGATTCCTTTTGTGCTGGATTAATTGAAGTAAAGTGAAGATACATTCAAGGAGTGAAACTCCTGTCCTTGATTAAAGCTTATGTAATTCTCATGAGCTCGTTGATAAAACCCAGTTGAGCAATGTGTGAAGAGGTAATAAAAGAAGAACCAAACTAGACAGCCCTCATGAAAGGGCATTCACAGAATATATGTTGAAGAGAATTCAAAGTGTCATAACTAAAACAACTACCCCTTCTATTTAAAAATATAAGATATTTTTTAAAGAGTTAAATATTAAAAATATAAGGTATTTTTAATTTTTCGAGATATAATTATTATCTTTTTTTTAAGTGTTCCTATTGATGAATAACTTTATATTTATTGTAGGATGTTTAATAGACGTAAATATAAAAAGATAAAGTTAGTTTAAAAATAAGTAACTACTTTATTGAGGAGTGAGATTTAATTAAAAATATCTTATATGCTTAAATAGAAGGAATAAATAAAAAAATTAAGATGATAAGCAAGCAGAATGTCCCCATAAAAAATAACGTCATGAAAAATCTTCCAAATAAAAAGAAGAGTTTTATAAGAAAAGTGTAATTTCTAAATTGATGACGAAACACTAAAAGAAGGTTGGCTATTAGGCCTATTCATATCAGATCTACAAATATGTTTTGATTCTGTAGTCAACCAGACTTTTTGTTTATATTTTATTAAAAAAATATTTGAATATTATTAAAATCTAAAATATTATAAAATTCAATAATAAATATATTATATAAAAAATTTAATTGTGCTCAACGATTCGACTTCTTCGCACCATGTGTAATGACCAAGAAGTGTTTGCTTTATTTTAAATTATAAGATAACTTTAGGATATTGATGAATTTTAATTTAAATTTTAGATTGAAAATGCAACACATTAAAAATAAAATACCAATGGGATTAGGATCCAACAAAATAAATTAGTTTCTCACAATATAGTAAATTAAAATTTAAATCTTTATTAAAAGTCATGCTTATATTTAATACCTGATTGTATCTTAAATATAATTGTGTCCAATGAGAGGATATCTATATGTAGAGATGATAATTCAAGTGTAGGCCAACAATCAACATGAATAAGTCCAAAAAAAGTTTAGGTTCGGGTTTGAAAGTTTAAAATGTTTTTTTTTTACTCTGGACTTATTCGGACTACTTGAATGAGTTTAGCTCGAATACTTTTTTTATTATTAATAAAATAATATTAAAATAAAAAAATTTAAAATATTAATTTTTTAAAAAATAAAAATAGAACGAATTCATGTTTGAAGTTATTGGAATTTTAAATAATTATAATGTAGATGAAATTTGAAATTATAAAGGAATTGTAATAAAGAATGAATTTGAATTTGAATTAAATTTAAATTCATAAATTTTTGCGTGTTCAAATGAAAGATTTCATCTAAATTTTCATTAATCCAAATATATTATAAAGCTATTTTGTTGTCTCAAAATAAAAGACAAAAATAAAATTTTTATTAATAATATTTTTTTGATATTATTTTTTAAGTCAAGAGAGAATTGAAACGATGGTAATGTAATAATTCTTTTTCATAAATTTGTTTTTTCTTTAAAAAAGCAAGAAGCGAAATTGTTTTTTTTCTTGATTTTTCTTAATCTCTTTTTCTTACATTTTCTCTTTATCAAAATTTTATAACAATATACTTGTCTTTTTTTCTAAAACAAAAATGAGCTCATTAAAATATTTCCCCCATTCAATTATGACTCTATTAAACTAAACAAGAGATTAATATCACACACACTGTACGGATGTAAAATGTAGTAGTTTTATAATTTGGTACGGCTCATTTAGTAATAACAAGTACATCGTGACTCCTTGAAATTACTCCTTCCGTTGTTGTATGCAAGAAATTTGTTAAAAATTTTTATTTAAATATAAAAATTATTATTATATTTTTTAATAAATAAACCATTATATTTTTATTAAATTAAAAAATAAATATTTTTATTAATTTAATTTTAAAAAATATTTTTTATTTATGATCATTGGGAATAAAATTAAAATATTATTATATATTTAATTTTCATTAAATAATTAATTTTTATTGTCGCGATTTCATTAAAAGTATTTTATATATTGGAACAGAATGGAGGGTGTAAATGGCGTGAGGTAAAATTGAAATTCGCTAAATTCTCAATGCACTAGATCTCAATTTCAGAGAAGCAGTGAGAGTTTGAGACTGCGACGAAGATGTCACGGCGATCCGGAGCTTGCCTGCGGTGTTGCTTGGTTGTGTTTGCAGTAGTCTCAGCTTTGGCTGTGTGTGGCCCCACTCTGTACGGGACATTCAAGAATACTTGGAAGCTTGACAATTCAAAAATCTCTTGCCCTCCATGCGTTTGTGACTGTCCTCCTCCTTTGTCTCTCCTGCACATTGCTCCTGGTAAGGGTTTCGGCTACCCATTTGGATTTCTTTTATTTTTTTTGGCTATTTCTTGTTTTTGATGGAATAAATCAGGCGTGCTTTTCTTTTCCTTTTCCCCTTTTTGATAATTTTTATTTATATTGCTTTTGTTGAGTTTGTGCTATGATGTATTTGGTTAGCCGTTCCGTTGCGGTGCACAATTCTACTAAGAATCACCGTTTTTTTCTTCCTTTGCTGGTAAAAGTCAAGGAGATTACTATAACGAGATGATTATAAGGAACTTTTTTTTTTTTTTTGGTGGAATGATAGTTAAGTCTAAAAAAGAAATTAATGACAGTTAGGTTGTGATAAAAAAAAATTTAAAAAATTAATTATAAATATTAATTCAAAAATTGCAAATTTAAAAGTTTTAATTAGAAATAAGATATTTAAATTTTAAATATAATAATTAATTTGCAATTTAAATTTTTATTTGTAACTTTTTAAATTAATATTTGCAATTCATTTTATAGCAAATTTTGTTAAGGATTTTTTTGTTATTAATTCATTATTTTTGGAATTTATTGTCATTCTTCTTCTTCTTCTTTTTTAATCTTAAGCAATTGTGATTACTACTAATGGGTTCTCACCCTTTTCCTTTTGGTTGAGCATTAGGCTTACTACAAGGGACATGATTTACTGATTTAGGTTCAGCTATCCGTTTAATTTTGTGTAATCTAAACTGCCCGAAAGAGAAAGTAGGGTGAGTTTCCATTTCCCGTGTCATGATCCAAGTATCTGAGATGGAATAGAGAAGATATTATGGTTTTTTGTCAAGCGTGGATTTGGCCATCAACATAGTGAGAAGCTGTTAGAATTCTATGACCTTAGAGCTGAAGCAGTCGAAGATGTGATATTAACTATTAAAACATCAAGTTGCATAATTTATATTTATTTAACGAGAAATTAGAGTATATTGTGAAATTGGGTTACTGCGAGTTCTTTTAGAGGTTGAGGTTTTGTTAGGATTTGTTGATAGTTTTTCATTCAATTGTAATTTCAGATTATGATACTGTTTGCTTTTGACATTATAATGATTATTGGTCAAACTGCATCAAATATCTTGTTTCTGGTTTCTATCGTTTTTGTGCACTTCAATTTCTTGTTTGTGGTGATTTATTAATCTTTCCTGCATTAAGGTCAATTTCTTACTCTTCAAGTTGTCTAAGGTCAACCAATGTATCTAAAAAGCTTGTAGAAAGATGCACTATCTACAAGCCAGGAATAATACGTCTTATGTAGGGCTCCGTGTAAATGCACAAGATCCCTCTAGTTTTGATAATTTGTGCAACTCGAAATATTGCAATTTTAGTTTTTTAATGAAATATATCTTAGGACTGATGATAATTTGACAAGTCTTTCTGAAAAAGAATTCCTCTTGTCATGGGTCTTAGAAAGTGTGACAGTATGGAATGGTGGCACTGGGTTTATGATGGGTCTAGGCCGATCAAGGCTTACGTCCACAGAGGAAGAGAAAAGGCAGTGCGTCAAACTGGTCCAATATACAAAGGGTAAATGAGGAAGAATAACGGCTTGGTCTTTGGAGGAGGAAGAAGGAAGTTTAGTGTAGGAAGAATATAGTCATTAGTTCTGTTATGTAGGGGGGAATAAATTATGTAAGGTGTTGGAAGAGATCTAGCCCCTCAAAAGCTTAAGTGTGTGGTACTTTTTTCTGTGATTTTTTTGAGTTTTCTCTGCTGTATATGCTTTATTTCTGCTGAGACTGTACTTTGGCACATCATTTGGTTCAGTTGAGTATAATATCAGTGGTGATTTCGTTAGTTTAGTTCTTTAGTAATTTGGATGAACTGGTTATTATTTCTGAGATTCTAATGATTAAGACTATCACTGTAATTTTAACATGTGACCATCCCATGAACACAAGGTCTATTCATTGGTCTCCCAGATGAAATCACATCATAGAGGGGGATGAAATTGCCTCACAGCCTAAAGTAAGAGCCTGTGACGTTGTCAACTGTTTTAGAATTCCAGATGGGCTAATGAAAAGTTTTTCCCATGAAATCATATCGCATGCTCTGGTTGTAGGAGACTTAAAATGTTTGTAACCAAAGCTAAAAGGATTGATAAAAGTCCTCGAAAGCTGATGAGCCGTTTGATATACAGAATAGGGTGAGATATTAAATTAACGAATGATTTCATACATAAAAAATGACACTCATGTCCGATTATGAGAACTTTAATAAAAAGGAATGAATAATGATACAAAAGATATAGTAGATTTTGTACATCTTGTTTTTGTACATCATGAAAATAAATTCTCTCTAGAAGGGATGCCAAACAGATTGTGATATTTTGTGTATTTTAAAGAATACTATTTTGCTTCATGGTAAGACTAGTCAGTTTGTTTTGTTATGCCTTTCTTTGACCCTGTGATCTATAGTGCCGTCCAATTTTGCTAATGTGTTCATTGTTATGATTTATACTTCACTGCAATAGATTCATTTGATGTTAAAATTGTAATGTAAAACAAATGCTATTTATGGTAAATGGTGTAATATTCCTCTACGCTTATCTTAGAAATTGAAAGATAAGTGACAATTAATTTTTCCTCATCACAAGTTACTAGTCATGAATATCATCATTTCTTCTTTTCAGACCTTAACTCGTATCTGCATGAAGTTGCATGTCTCTCATTTTTCATGTTTATTCTGATGCGCATGTTTGAGATGAATATCATGCATTTGTGTACAGTGTACTGATTTTTTTTTTTTTTTTCCTTTTGTCCTTTCACAGGGCTGGCCAACCTTTCTGTCTCAGGTTATTGTTCATTCTGCTTGCTTAATAAATTTAAGAACTCGCCCTTTTATATATATATATATATATTTATTTATGATGTATGCTCATATTAATATGTTATGGAATCATAGGAAATCTGTCCCACCCGTGTTTCTAACTAACGAAGGGCTGTTCTTGACTGTCTTTGTGAACTTGTTTTCTGCCTGTTATATTGTCTGGAATTCAGGCTGTCTAATGAGGCATTGCTGATTATGCTTGTAAGATGCTAAATTAAGCATGCGCATGGGATCTTTAGATGTATTGGTAAATGTATACAATATTCTATGTGGAATCTTATATGTACTGTCCATACCATTGACATAAAGATGGATAAGTGAGAAGGAGATGTATGTAAGGGATCCTAATTGTAAATCAAAGACATACTTAATGAAATATTCAGTGTACTTATCAGGAAATCTCTTCTCTCTTGACTATCTATCTTCTTCTTCCTTCACTTTCTCTTCTCTGTTTTCCCTTCCTTCTCCCTTTTCCCTACTTTTCTACACATCAGAGGTAGCATTGCTTTTTCTATCAATAGCAGAATTGAAAAGGGAAAGCGAACAAAATTTACTTTTTTTTTTTTTTATGCAATGCCTGTTAGATTTGCATCATTATTACTCGGTGGTACACGCCCCTTTTCCATTACCTATTGGGGTATGGGTTATATTTATTCACTTTCATGTTTTATTATTTTCATACCTAAGATTCTTTGTAACAAATATAATCTATTCATATAAACTGGTATCAGATTTCTTATTACATAGTCATTGACATGAGACAGATAAGATCATAGCAGTCATTTAACCCTGACGCAAACATTTGAAAACGAGCTATATATTAAACTCAGCCACCATACAAAAGTACAATTATATCAGATTCCTCATTACGTAATCATTCACTATGTTGGTGGACAGATTGTGGAAGTAATGATCCTGATCTCAAGCAGGAGATGGAAAAGCAACTCGTGGATCTTCTCACTGAGGAGCTTAAGCTGCAAGAGGCTGTTGCCAAAGAGCACTCTCGTCATATGAACATATCTTTGGCTGAAGCAAAGAGACTGGCATCTCAATACCAGAGGGAGGCAGATAAATGTGTTGCTGCTACTGAAACTTGTGAACAAGCAAGAGAACGAGCCGAGGCGTTGCTTATCAGGGAGAAGAAGATGACTTTGCTGTGGGAGCATCGAGCACGGCAAGTGGGCTGGCAAGGGGAATAACTGTACAAAATTTGCACTTGATATTCTGCTACTGATTCTTGTTTTTTTTTTTTTTTTTGGCCTTTCTTTGAATACAAGCACGAAAGCAAATTGCTTGACTTGTTAACCAATTTAGGTTTCTGTAATATAGTTGTTCTCTTACCAATGATGTTGTAGCTACATCATCCATTTGGCTTGTAGCCTTGTATCAATCAATTTTGAGCTTGGATGAAAATGTTAGCAATGTATAAGCAGCACTAGTTTAATATGTTGCTGTGTCTCCTACTTTTGATACAGTTGGAACATCTCATTTTGAGATTGGGTATGCTACTCAGCACTTTTGAAGAGAAAGCTGGTTTCCCTTGCTGCATGGTAAAGGTTCAAGACAAGAAAGATACAATGTTAGTATCTTCTTTGCTATACTATCTTTTGATTGAGAGGAAAATAACGGAAGAAAAAAGTAAAAAAAGAAAAGAACAAGATATTTTATTGCATGTTTGGTATACAGAAAAGTATTTTTTAAGAAAGGAAAAGAAAAAAATATCTGTAAAGAAAATGAAATATGTGCATTTCCCCATTCTTTTTTAGAAAATACTTTTTTACCTGCCAAATAGTGCAGTAGATTATATTATTTTCCTGATTTAGTTTTAATCATTATTAATCATCTCTTCCCTTGTCTATTCTCAATCCAAACTTACCGGATGTTATTTTGGGACATAGATTTATTAAAAAAAAAAAAGGATCTTCTGGCTTGAAAGAAGGCCGTTTTGTTATCGTGTGGGAAGGTTACATTATTTAGTTTAGTCTTGAGTATTTAAAAGTTTGTAATTATAGAGCTCAAATAATGTTTAAATAGTCTCTCTTATTACGCGCGCACACTAATATCGTGTCCAATGCACCGTTACTTTTATTTCATTATCTATATCCTTGTCTCCTTTTTATGTTTTAATGATAATAAAATACTGGAAAAGTTTGTATTGTATTCTATCTAGCTCAAGAATACCAAGCTGATGGATAACTAATGGATAAACATTGAAGAATTCAATTTTTTTGTTTACGTATTCTTGATTATAAGTAGTTTTTTTTTTTTTTTTTGGGGGGGGGGGGGGGGGAGGGTGTTCATAATGATTGTAATTAGTTGAGAAGATCTCCGAGATCTTGTAGCAGTAGTGGCAACAGTTTTTGGTCCCCCTTGTTATGTTGCGTGAGGGGATTGGCTTATTTGCTTTTTTTGCTTTGTTTCTATAGATGCCTTTGCCTCTGGCTTATGATAGAAACTCTGTTATTTTTATGCGTTAATGATATTTTCCCTTCCTTTTCGGTAAAGAAAAAAAAATTTAAAATCTCAATACTTAAATTTATAAATTCTTTTCTCTTATTTTATATTAGTTATTAAATATAATTTTATTTGATGTAGTACTCCCACGTCCACCCACACTACCTAGTGTAAAAGAAATACATTTTTTAATCATAATAATTTCACTTAATTTGAAATTTAGTTTTTATGATTTTAGAACTTAGATTTGAGTCATATAATTCGTGAAAGTTTTTATGTAGTCCTTATTATTAGAATTTACAATTTGATAATAATTTGATGGTAGGACCTCAAATTTGATTATTTTCAAGTCAATGAACTACCAATCCATCAGCAATACCAAATGAAAATAGGAAACAAGAAGGAAACTACAAACTGGAAACAAAGAATGGATGTCCCCGCCTCCGACAGAAGCTAGAGAGGGAGACCTCATGACCAAACACTTACAAGACGAGACACACTCCCACTGCCCTTGAGAGAAACCCTAGAGAGGGAGAGACAGTTGAGGTTTTGAATTAAATTGTAGTGTTATTTCATCATTTTTTGCCAATTTCTCTCTCACATTTTTGGGCTGCTTCTCCTCATTCTCAACAAATAAAAATAAAATATTATTGTTGTTGTTGTTGTTATTTACTTTGGTATCTTAATAGAGACATTAATTTTTGTTGTCGGCATAAGGCGTTTTTGGTGTAATTTTTTTTTTAAAAAAAACTTACATATGCTTTTGTATAACTTCTTGGATCTTTTCTTTGATTCTTTTTCAATGTTTACAAGAGAATTATGTTTGAATCTCTCATAACACACTTAAATGTTATCATGTTTAAATTCAATGACATCTGAACAATTAAAATAGTTGCTATTTTGTTGTACTCAAATGTCGATGAACTTTTAGTAATGAATTCAAAAAGCCCCTGAAGGTACCGGGGTCCAAATTTTATTTATTAAAATTAAGTAGAAAGCTTACACATGGACATGGATGGTGATGGCTATGAGTGAGTGTGAGAGAGTGTGCGGAACTATGAACAAAACACATGCACATGGGCATCACTAATCAACGCAGAATCTCAGCATATGCATCACTCTTCTCTCTGTTTTTTTATTACTTTTCTTGTCTCAGGCATCAGTGTCGGTTGCTCCTTCCTTAATCCCTACTTGCCAAGTAGATTCAATTTATATCTCTCTGAATATATCATTATTTACTAGTAGTTGTGTGATATCTTAGATACTTTTTTTAACAAGAATTTAAATTTTAGTTCTTCATATTATAAGGATTAACACTTTAAGTTAGACCCAACCTTATTGGTCCTTAGTAACATCATGACTTGTAATCAATCAAAATCAAACACTACCCTTGAGGAATCTTCTTGGTGAAAGAAGCCCATTAAGTGAAAACTTTAGATTCCTTAAAACGGTTTTACCTCAAATAAAAGGAGGAAATAGACACATAATAGGTGGACCTACTTTGTGAGATCCATCCACATGACACAAAAGTGAGACTCAATATTGTATATCTATCTCGCTTCAAATTCACTAATAAATAATAATATTGTGGTTTGACTGATGGTTTCGTTCTTCAAGAACCAGGATATTACTCTATGAAAATTTTCACGGACAAGCATAAACTATAATTGATGATTAATTCCATAGTAACTTAGCTTCCACCTTCAAGGCAAAGTTAATGAATGCTTTCATGCTCAATTTACATTCTCTCTCGAAATTCAAGTAAGATTTTGACTGTTGACACTCATGAGTACAGTTATTTATTGATATTATTCTATCTACAACTTCTGATATTGATTGATGATAGTTGAGAAGTTTTCTGCATCACATATTATGTTTGAGAGCGAGTTGTATTATTTATAATTTACAGATAATATGACTTAAACTAACTAGATCTGATACAATTGGTAGATAGTTATACCTCTTAAATATGTTGTTATACTTCTAGGATCTCTATACATATGGTCTTAGTATAAAATGAGAAGAGAAATTTCACTCTAGCAACCAATAGTTGTTAATAGATCTAACTTTATGAATGAAAAAATAGTTAAGAATACCAACTTTGTTTTGTTTTTTAATATAAGTTCATAAGTCATGCAAAAAAAAAAAAAACTAAATCAGATTAGAGCTCAAAAAGATCCTTCATCCTAGAAATAGATCATGTAAAATCATTATGTATTGAAGCATTTCATAATCAACATGATGAGCAAGCCAATCAATACAATTATTAATTTTTTTAAAAATGTGATCAAAAGTCTTGCATTAATAAATTTTTATATTTTCAATGGAACTGTAAAGATAGGGATTTGAGGAGAATTTTTATGGTTGACCGTATTTTTGATTTAGTATGATAATATTCAAACTTCAATTTGGCAATAATATTGAGGATTTAGTAAAAGGTGATAAGATATTATTTAAAAAAAACTCATCCTTTCTCTTTTGGTCAAGCTTAAATGATGACAAGTGCAAATCTAATTGAAAAGAATGGTGACAAAGGGAAGAGTAACAAACTAACAATGGTTGAAACATGGTTGATACTGTATGCGATCTTCCTTGTCACCTGACAGCCATCCCCTGGGCTCACATAGGACAAAGTCAAAGCAAAATTGAGACCCCATTCACCAAGAAACGCGCTTTCATTTTTCAACGTTCATGCACTCACACCAGTCGGTCATCACACCCACACCAGCTGTGATCGTCCATAATATGAATAATAAATTCTTATATGAATTTTAAATCCATTGAGGATATAACCTTTTAAAATAAACGGAAAACAGATGGCTTTTTTTCTTTTTTTTGATATAACTGTGCAAAGACGCCAAAGTTTTCTTTTTCTGCTATCGGAGCCGATTTCCCTCCGCTTTCGGACTCTCGTCAAGTTGAAGGGTTTGCTCAAAATCTTTTAATCACTTGCATACTGCTGGCTTTCTGGGAAGCTTCTGGGTGTACCTACGGATCAGTAAGACAATACTAAGCTTCCAAATTTGGAAGTTGTCGATAGATTATTTTTGGGATTGGATAAAGCTTCTAGAAATGGAAAGTTCCAAGGACAAGAGAGCAGAGAAGAGAGGCTACGAGCTGGTAGACAGTGTCGATCCAGATCATCTATCACAATCAAAGAAGCCAAAACTACCTGGTTTGGCCAGGTATTGTAATACAGCTTATTTTGTTCTATATGCTTGGAAGCTATTTGAAATTTGATCTCAATTAAAAATTAGCATTCTGATGTTAAATTGATCATAGAAATAATTTAATGAGTACCCATATGGGTATGATTTGACAATGAATCTTAATCTCTTGCTTTGGAATCCTCTGTGTAATATGATGCAGTTGATTGTATTTGCAAATTCATCATTTGTTGATTTTAACCTTAACTATATGTCGGTGGTGTCAGGGTTATTCAATTGAAGGAGTTGGTTTATTTCTTTTTGTGCACGTAAATTTAAATTCTGTGACTCTCATCCAGTGATTGCTCATAACTTTATAGTGTAATCGTGGAGGCTTTGAAGGTGGATAGTTTGCAAAGACTTTGCTCATCTTTGGAACCTCTTCTCAGGAAAATTGTGAGTTGAAGTCATTTTCCTTGTATAAATTATTCCATAAATACATCAGAAAGTTTTCTTTGTTTGCTACGATCTACGCTTTCTTAATGAACTATGAAATATGAACTCTCTACTTCAACACTTCATTGTCCTTCTAGGAGAGAAGATGCTCTGTATTCAATTGGTTTTTATAAGAAAGTGAGCTTAAAAGACAAATGAATCAAGAAGGATGAAAAAGCATGATGAGAATAATTTGTGGGCCTATTAATTTCATGGCAGAGCTTGAGAAATCTTGGTATGTTTGTTACTTTCATTTAAAAGAGTAGCTCTGTGATTCTGGATCTATTTATTACCTATGAGAAATCTAAAGTAGACTCAGTCAATAAAAGATAAGTAGAGAGAACCAATTATGAGCGGATGTACAAGTATGCCAAGCAAATTTTTAAATGTTTATGTGTTTGTTCTTCTTTTGCTTGATGTATTTATTTTTGTTAGAGTCTACCTAACAATTGCTCTATTGCTGACTTGTTTGTCAACATTCAAGTCATCTAATTAAGGTCTAATATTTGTTATATTACTATGCTTATCCTGCTAATTCCATTAACAATAGGTTAGTGAAGAAGTGGAGCGTGCGTTAGCAAAACTGAGCCCTGTTAAACTGGTTGGAAATGGAAGGTTTGTTCTCCCAGACTCCCGCCATATTACATTTTTAAAAATTATTTCTTTTCAGCCATGAATGTTTTGTTGGTGATGCAGAAAGACTATTACAGAAAATAAACTTAATAAAAATATATTTGAGCTCATGTGATTCATACATGATATAAACTCACTGGTGCAAAATTTTATAATATGAGATTCCTATTGAGCATCAAACTTGCATTATTTCATCAGTTACATTTTTCTTGTGTCAGGTCTCCACCACCAAGAATTGAAGGGCCAGAGCCGAAAAATCTTCAGCTTCATTTCAGAACAAGAATGCCACCTCATTTGTTCACTGGTGGGAAGGTTGAGGGAGAGCAAGGGGGAGCCATTCATGTTGTTGTGTTAGATCCTAACACAGGCCATGTGGTCCAAACTGGACCAATATCAGTTGCGAAGTTGAACGTTGTTGTCCTTGAAGGTGACTTTAATGATGAATCCGATGATGATTGGACGAAAGAAGACTTTGAAAGCCATGAAGTAAAGGAGAGGGAGGGGAAAAGGCCACTTCTAACTGGAGATTTGCAGATTATAATGAAGGAAGGAGTGGGGACCTTAGGGGATCTTACTTTCACTGACAATTCTAGTTGGATAAGGAGCAGAAAATTCAGGCTTGGCATTAAGATGGCTACTGGTTGCTGTGAGGAGATCCGTGTTCGTGAGGGCAAGACTGACGCCTTTGCTGTTAAAGATCATAGAGGAGAATGTGAGTTTTCTAATATAGTAACCACTTCATTATCTGCTTAGAAAGAAAATATCAGGCGTGTTCTTCCAGACTCAGGTACTGAATCACTGAAAATACAATGCAAATGTAGATATTAGAAAACTTGTATTTTAGTTTATAGTGACAGAAATAACAGATATTCTCGTATTCACCATCAACCTCCTATAATAAAACTTGACTCCTGCTCACGGACAAAAGTTACTAAACAGCAGATAACATGTAAGGTTTCAATCAATGTAGCAAACATAAACCACCATATGAATAATAGATTTTGTTTCCTTGCATATTTCTCATAAAATATAAGTTGGTCTGAATTTTTAGTTTTTCTCAGTTCAATGAACTTTTGGGTAGTTCAGACTTTAAATATAGGGAGAATATCAATGCAAGACGTGGGAAATAATTTAATATCAGACAAGGATTTCTAACAAGTAAACATTAATAATTAACAAGTGAGTTCAAGTTTTGACAAGTATCTAATCCGTCTAGATCCTTGTCTGATATTAAATGATTTCAGCATTCCTTAATTGATATTCTCTCTAAAATATACTGGAAAAAGTATTGAATTTAATAGATGGCTGTAAACTTCGACACCATACCCTTTTATTTTACTTCAATACACCATCAAGCAAGTCTGTATGCTCAGGCCAGGACCTGGATTTCTCTGGTTAGGGGACAGGGATTCAAATTCTGCTTTTTGTCACTACTCTTCAGAATAGAATTCTTAGTTACCTATGCCAATTTATATTATCTGTTATATGCAGTATACAAGAAACACTATCCACCTGCTTTGCATGATGAAGTTTGGAGATTGGATCGCATAGCAAAGGATGGGGCACTTCACAAAAAATTGATTCAAGCAAATATAGTAACTGTAGAGGATTTCCTTCGTCTTCTTGTCAGGGACCCTCAGAAATTGAGGAGTGTAAGAATTTCATGACATTGCTTATCCTTAAACACAAATGTACTTATTCTCTTTTTATTTTTTATTTTCCTGAATACTTGATTTGTTACAACAGATACTGGGTAGTGGAATGTCCAATAGAATGTGGGAGAATACTGTGGAGCATGCCAAGACGTGTGTCTTGGGTGGTAAGCTGTTTGTGTATTATACCAATGAGACCAATGATGTTGGTATTGTGTTCGATGATATATATGAGCTGAGAGGCCTTATTGCTGATGGTCAGTTCTTCTCTTTGGAATCACTTACACCAAATCAGAAGGTAATTTTTGCTGTACTGATTGATGAAGATGGATGTTCCAGATCAATTTGATATATATACTGCTTGGCTTTGATCTGTGATCAATTTGAACATCTCTTCTGCGTTAGCTCATTTAATGAGAATTTGAATTACAGATGTCTGTGGATACATTGGTGAAGAAAGCATATGAAAATTGGAACCAAGTTGTTGAATATGATGGCAAAGTTTTAAGTTCTGTGACAAATGCCAAAAATGGATCAAGAACTGTAGCTCCACCTACAATGAACCAGAATGGCCATGTCACGGAGCAGCAGTATATTTCTCCAAAGAGTAGGCTACCATATGTCTCGTCTGAACCAAGCCAACGCTTTCAAATACAAAACAACAGCTCTTATGCCGCTGATTTGTCTGCATTTGGGAAAACTGATAATCAGATTTTAGGGACAGCATCAAATGACTCCCAATTAACATTGACTGGCAGCATGAATTACATAACAAGTCAAAATCCTGCAGTTGAAGCTCCATATTTCCCAGGTGACTGGTCTCGACAGAGAAGTGGGCAAGGACTGGAAGACATTGTGGCCGAAGAAATCCGTCATAGGAGTTCAGAGATGCTAGAGAGTGATGATATGCAGAGATTGCTCAAGACAATTAATGTTGGTTTTGGTCATCCTAACGACAGTTGTTATTCCTACAGTTTGCAGTATGAACCTCAGACATATCAAACCTTTAGCGAGGATCACGGCAAGAGTTCTGGGAAGGCAGTGGTGGGGTGGCTTAAGCTCAAAGCTGCTTTAAGATGGGGAATATTTATCAGAAAAAGAGCTGCACAAAGGAGAGCACAGCTTACTGAACTGAATTGAGTTTAAATGCTACAAGAGTAGTTCCATTCAATGCATACAGAACTCGAGAAAAAAGTGAGAAAGGACGTTGCTGTGTAATCCATAGTTGTTGGTGTTCTGCTTCCTGACTAATCCTGGAACAACAAGCAGCATATGCTGTGCTGTTTATGAATGAACCACACTTTCTCTAACTCGCAGTTTCCAGTTTAGTTGGTGCACTGTGTTGTAACATGATTGCCCTCTCTTTATCTGGGCATTTTTATGTTGTTATTTGGTTGTGATTTATTCTTATTCTTGTTTATTTATCTTCTATGTATTTAAAATTTGTACTGTGAACATCATATAATAATAATAAAAAAAATTTAATTTGTTAGTCCTGCAATTCACATTCATGTTTAATTTAGCTCCTGTACTTCAATTTTTCACAAATCATTGAATCAATCATTTTAATAAACTATCATCTAAAAGTCAATTCCAAAAATTAACTGCAAAAAAAAAAAAAGAAGTGTTACTATGATATGCAAAGGGGGCAATAGCAGCGTCTTGCTGACATGGCATGGAAAGAGCATGTGGATTAGTAAAGGGATGATTGATATCTTCAACATGCCTGCACTTTCACCAATCACCATCTTTGATCGGTATCTTCCTTCACTATCAGAACAAGCAATGGCCTGGTTAATGGTTATTGGTCTATCCCCCAACTTGTTTTTAATTCTTTAAAAAAAAAAACATTTTTTGTTTTATTCTTTCCTTTTGCTGCCATCAAAAATTCAAAATTGATTGTGAAAGTCAGCCAAAACTCGTCAAGATAAGGAGATAGCAGAAAAGTGATTTTTTGCCTGTATTAAATGCTAGTTTTGAAATGCAGAATATGAACAAGTGAAAAATTCATCCCTTCCATCAGTTTCTTTCCTTCATTTTTCCTCTACCTGTTAAATCAATAAATGGTAATATAGGGCCTGTTTGGTTTCTGTGGTCATTTTTTAATTTTCAAAAACTGTTTTATGGTACAGTTTTTAAAATTGTTTTTCAAAACAAAATAAAATGAAAATATGTGTCAATTTAAAACAGTTTCATAATTAAAAATGGACTTATAGTGATAATTATAAGCAGTTAATGATAGTAATTAATGATATAAATTGATCAAGATAACTATAATTTTCAATAATCAAATGTAATCTATTTTAAAAAAAGAAAAATAATACAAAAACAACATGAAGTTGTTTCAATTTTTTTGTTTTTAAAAATAAAAATGAAAACAGTTTTAAAAATAATTAAATGAATAACACTTATTCAAATAAATTTTTCTATTTTCTATTTTTAAAAATAGAAAACAAACAAACCCATAGATTCTCATGAATGATCTTATAGGAACTTGTGGGTAGAAGCAAAAATTGACCACTCAAATCCTTCCCTCAGCTCAAGGTCCAAAAGAAATACTCCATCACTGTGTTTGATGGTTAGGACTTATAGCTTTAATTTGGGCTGTGAAGATGAAAGCATGTAACAAATTTTTGGATTGTGGGCCTTGTGGGTATCCTTCAAGAAACAGCACCAGGATGGCATGCATGATGAAGCATCGCTCTAAAGAATGTGCTGCGTTCAAGACATTTCGTAACTTTTTTCCCCCCGACCAAGACAGTTTGTAACTTACTACCCGTTGTGTCAGATATCACAGCTTAGTTTCACTATCTCAAATTGACATGAGTGGTGAGAATAGCATCATTTTTGTTTAGATAAATGAATAATTTGCTTTTAAACTGTAAGTCTATGAGCATTTAAAATACTAAACTCATTTTTTATGTAATTTTTTCTTCAACATTTTAAAATGACACAATGTAACCCCTATCAATAAAAAATTAATTTTAACTATTAATTGATTAAAAAATAATTTTAAAAATTATAAGTAAAGACCAATAAAAAATTTTGTCTTTTTTTATAATTTTTTAGATAATTGTTTGTAATTTTTGGTACTTTACTGTAATTTTTTTGTCTTTTATGTAGTCTTTTTTTTTGGTTATTTTATGGTCAACTATTAACTAAAATTAACTTTTATTAATAATAAATGTTAGATTGTATTATTTTTAAAAGTTTAAAGCAAGAATTTACTCTTTTATCATTTTGTTTTTGGTATATAAGAATATTATTATTTAAATAAATATTTGGAGGTTGTATTCTCAACTCTAATTATAGAGCAAATATAGTAGGAGTTCACATTTATCCCTCAAGTATAGCCAGGAATTTTCCCACCCTATAAAAAAATATAGTTAAGAGTTTAACATTTATCCCTCACTATCACAAGAGAGATACTTTTCTAGTTATATTTACAATTCACTTTCAATATGTTCTTCAAAATTAAGAAAAATTTTAAATTTATTAATCCTATTTAAAAATTTAATAATTTTTATTTTTTACTCCTATTAAATATACATACTTTAATAATATATTTTCTCTCTCAAACATTTAATGGATGATAGATGAAAAAATTTGTGATAAAAATTTAATGAGATAATTTATAAATAGAATAAAAAGAAAATTTAGAGAGAATAATGTTTGTTATCACGGAGAATGCTCTTGTCCCGAAAAAAAAAATTCAAAAGAAATGAATCTAATTCAAAAACATTATTCGGCCAAACAAAACTACAAAAAACATTAACTTTTAACAACTAAAAGGCTTGTAACTTTGGAGAATATACAAAACTTCGACGTATCATGTGAATATGAAAAACTCATCGCACGTGCTTTTATTTTCATTGAGTCATGAATTAAATATCTACGTTGAATTTATCTTTGCTACAGCGTGGTTCTGACCGGGTTAACACTTGAAATTTTGATTCTCCGTACATCTTGAAAAATCTGCAAAAGTCCGTCCATTTAGTTTAGATTATCTAAATTTAATTGGAACTTTTTATATTTTATAATTTTAGTTCAAATTATTTCTTAGTTAAAATATATTTATTTTAATTATGTCTCTTGAAAATATATGATAATAAACAAATAGTAGTATTTAGTTTAGGCCATCTAACTTGAATTCAATAAACCAATCAAAAATAGTAGAGATGTTAGGACTGGCATGATCCTAAAAGGAAAGGATTAAAAACTAAACAAACTTGTTTTATTAAACTCAATTGTATTTTAGAGTTTTATTTTTTCTAACTCAGCCTTTGCTTTTAAGATTGAAGTGTCGGCTCTAAGGACTTTAGCCCTATTTTTTTCTTTTTTAATTTAAAATTTAAAAAAAATAAATTCCAAAAAAACTATTATACATTACACCAAGTCTTTCAACCTCTGCCTCTTTGGTCGTCCTTCAATCTTTGGTCTGATGCATGAGGGGCGGGGCACAGAGTCACGATCCGCTCGGAGGAAGGGAAGGTGGGTGGACTCATGGTCAGTTGTACTTGGAGGATCGATTAGAGGAAGAAGGAATGAAAATGAGCGTGACAGTCAAATGAAATGAAGCTAGGATTTAGACTTTTAGCAGTATTTAATTTTTTTATAATAAAATTACAATATGTGTGTGTAAAAGCCGAACAGAGTCGGTTCTTTTATTTTAAGGTTTAAAGGGATCAGTTTTTTTAAGTCCATTTTTTTATTTTACATATTAAAGTAACTATTCGATTCCAGAATTTTTTTTTTTTTCAAGTTTAAAAGAACAAGCTTGACAGATTTTGCCCTAATTAACTGCTCCACAAAATTGGCGTGCTTTGCGTGATCTTGAGCCGCAAGTCCAAGAGTCACGGAATCGGCTGCATTAGAACCATTCCAAGAGTCACTGAATTAGCTGTATTGGGAACCATTCCAAGAGACAGTAATAATTGCTAATTGGACCAAGGTTTTTCAATTGAGAAATTCTTTTCAAACCAAGTTACAGCACCAAAGTTTAAAAAACAAAATCCGAATTTGTATTGAACCTTGATGACAATGACATGACATTAGAACATGGATAATTAATTAGTATTAGCAATCTGGACTTTAATCTCAGACCACTGGCATAAAAATTTTCAAAGCCTTTGATTCAATTATTCATCCAAGTTAAATCCTGCCTGCACCAAAACAGGAAACAAAATAATAATAATAATAATAATAATAATAATAGTAATGGTAATAGTAATAATTTTCTTTTTTTATGACGATGACCTATATATGTAAACAAAAAAAAATTATTAATTATACTAGAAAGACTTAAAAATGCCTTACACAAGATACTTCAAATATAATACTAAACAAAAGAGTACTTTCATTTACATTTTTTGACCTAAAACTCAAACAAGTGACCAGCATGTGGATATCCCTTCTCTCCTTTGATTTTCTCGTCATCCTATTCCTGCCCTTAAATAATAAAATGAAGGGTTTAGATTTAATTGTTTAGAAATAATTATTGTTATATCATATAAAATAAATAAATAATTTAAACTGTTAAAATTTGAATTGTATAGTTCATAGTTGTATATTGTTGCTATTTTTTTATAAATAATAATTTTTTATTTATCTTATTGCAGTTATAAATTGTAGGGGTCAAATTTTAACAATTTAAAATAATTTGCTTATTTTTTTTAATAATTTCTCCCGTTTCCTGTAAGGCACTTCTAACTACCTGAAAGGAGTGGTTAAATCATTAATAATTCATTCCTCATATGAAAGGGAGATGGGATGTGGAGAGAGTATCTGCTTTTGGATTCTCTCTGCAATAGCAGGATTTTGTTGGATCGAGATACAAGGACAAAATAGGATGGGACCCATACGACAAATTTTGTATTTTTTTTTTAATGAAAACTGAATTACAATACTAACCAAAGCTAAACAACAAAGACAAGTAACAACGAGCAAAAGACAAGACACCCTATTCTCTGAATTGATGTAAAACCAAATGTAGCAAATTATAGAGCCTCAATCCAACTTAGCATGATATTATTATATGAGTGTTAGAATCGCATTGGCATGGATCAAAACAATGAAGCATAGTTTTGGTAGAAACAACATCTGAATTGCTTTTGCCAAAACGTGGTTTTGATCCCAACAACCAAACATGATTCCAAACACACCCTATAAGATTTCGGCCTTTCACATTTGTCAGTTCCATTAAATAATGATGCTACCTGAAGCTAAATCCCAAGCACTTGCCATGCTTGGTATCAGAAAAACTACGATTTGGAGTTGCTGATTGCTTTGTTTGTGTTGTTGTGGCTGGAAGTTTCCCCATGGCATTCAAGAACTGGCGCAAGTGCTTCAAGTACTCTGGAAATGTTTCTATGTTACAATGTCCTGCACCGTTCACCCATAGTGGATCATACTTTTCCTTTGAAAGCTCCCATAATCGCTTCCCATGTGAAAAATCAACTACATCATCGTTGGTTTCCCTGCATCAGAGACATCCAAACCAGTGTCAATTAGTTTTAACTAGGAAATTGTATTAGTTTTATTCAAAGACTATATATATTTTGTTCTCTGCATTAGACATGCAAAACTAGCATTATTACTAGGAAGTTGTATTATTTTATCAGGGACTGCATGCACCTTGTCACTGTTGAGATGTAAAGCTTTGAAGCTGGCTCTGTCTTCAAACAGCAGGCAATAAGTACACAATATTAATGCATGTGTCTTATGATGTACAGCTTAATATTAGTTTATACCCTTCTGGTTTAAAATATAGGATACTTTTAACTAACTTTAACAAGAATTAAGAAAAGTTTTTAAAAGTAATTTATTTATTAAAATGATTAAAAAGGGGGCTAAAGCATATCTTTAGTCATTTCATTTTTATATAAGGTTTTATTTTTATTTCTTAATTTTATAAAGTAATTTTTCAATTATTTAACTTTAACACTGTTATTTTTAGCACAAAAACTTTATACATTAAACTTTTAAATATTGACAAAACATTCTCAATGTTGACATGTTAATTTTAATCTTTTAAAAAAAAAATAATGATTAACACAAAAAATAATAATTTAAAACTAACAGTGTTAGGGTTAGAGAAATAAAAATATATTTTTAAAATTAATAATTAAATCGAAACTTTATATAAAGTTAGAAGATCAAAAATACACTTTAGCCTAAAAAAATTATAACCACTTCCCAAGATTACCTTCTAATTAAAATCAATCCATCTTAATTACCTTTAATTTCTTTCTTATACTAATGTCCATCTATAATAGAATTAATAAGGATATTTTTGGAAAAGAATAATTTAATACTATTAACTTTTTACAAAGCATCCTATATTTTGGATTGGAGGGAGTATTTTATAGATGGGTCAACTTATTTTATTTTAGTCTTGTTTATAAATCACTTCTAATATATTTTATCAAAATTAAAGAAAGCTTTAAAACTTATTAACTCCATCTAAAAATTTAATAAGTTTCAAACTTTGTCTCTATTCATGCATGAAGGATTGAGTGAGAAGGCCACAAGAATTTTTACTAATGTACACCAATATTTAATGGGAGATAAAAGGAAAAATTTGTGATAAATAGGAAATGGAATGATTTATAATTAGGACAAAAAGTTCATTGCTCTCTATCTTATAAATGACATCGGAGAGAATTGAGTGACATATAGTCATATTAGCAATGTACCACATAAACTTAATGTGGTAAAAGGCATATTACCCAAAAAAATTGCAAACATTCCAAATATAGCTCCAATGACATTCAAAATGTCTAATGCACCTTACTCACTAGTCATTACCAAAAGGTGTAGTAGACATTCCAAACAAGACCATATTCAAATGTTGCTGTCTCATGCAATAAACTATTATCACTAGAAACAACATATGAAAGTTGTCTTCAGTTCAAAACAGGAACCTCAAGAATAATGAACCTATTAAGCAAGTAAAAGTATGTTAGATCCATGGAAGGAAGAAACACGTACATGTATAACTAACACAGGACAGTTGACATTCCTTATCTTGTCTATATTCTGCAATGATAGAAAGCTCAGAGCTAAAGATTGCAAAAGGCTAAGAACTATGAAGAATTAATGTCCAGATAAGAAACTTACTTTGAATATGTCAAACCAGAATGTCACTTTTACATTGTACAAAACCCTTATCCCTGAAAGAATGGCACTGTGAAGAAAAATACCTCTCAACCTGGGCAATTTAGAAGCCATGTGTAGTGTGGGCCCACTTCCAACTGATTGGCCATACAAAATTAAATCTTCTTGCCTAATTCCATAATCGCACTTCAAACAATTATAAACAGCCTCTATATCGTAATATGTGTTGAACTCCGTTGGCTATGGTAGACAAAGAGATGGTCATGCATTAATCACTGAGATACATCAGAGAACACTGTTCTGGACTGAATGACTGATTAGTTCAGAGAAAAACAGATAACTCAGTCGGAATTGAGAATCTTGCTTCTATATATACATTTCCGAACATACAAGATCTCAAGTCTAAGAAAACAGTACTTCAGGTTAATTGAGATTCCATCAGAATTCATTCATTTGCAAGCAGCACAAGAGAAGGACAGAACAGAGGGTGAAAGGAACTGTAAAGATCACTTACCTTGCCCGTAGATGATCCATAGCCTGAATAATCATATCTGCAATTTAACATGAAGTTACATGAAGTTAATAAGAAATGAATTTTACATGTATCCTTCAATTTATGAAAAAAAAAAATTAGCATCCTAGAATCTGCCAGGCCAAACAAACACAAACATCACGAAAGGAAAAGAAGAAGAAGCCAGATCAGAATAAAGTAAGCATACATAACTCAACCCAGGGCCTTAATATCTGAAACAGTTATGAATTACCCTTTTCTATCTGGCTTGAGTTAGAACCATAACTAAATTAAAACATAAAAAATGATTAGCATTTTCACGTCAAAAACATACCAATTTTGCATAAGCGGGACGAAATCGTTTGTGATGCAGAAGTAGGGAAAGGGGAACGGATCAAATTTCAAATTAATCAGAAGGCAACTAATACTGGAAGCGAAACGAATAAGGACATACATCAAACACCCATTTGCCAGTTTCAGTAAGAACACATGAAATCCAAATTAAAGAACAATTTGAAAATCAAAGAAGGAAGTATAAATAGAAATATGACCCCATGATATTGACACGAAGATGAGCTCTGAGCGCATTGAAAAGCTCTTGCATCTGACCCAAATCAGCGGCATTACCATGAGAGTACAAAATCGTGAACCTCGCAGAAGGTTGTCTCCAAAACATGGCTACGACCTTATTACCGCTCCTGGTCTCAATCAGATGAACATCCATGTTCTCATCGGCGGTAATGCCGGAGAAGACGATCTTTCCATCCGGCTCTCTGTGAACGTCGTAAGTTGGTGGGTCTGGCGGGAAAAATGCGAATTTCGCAGCCACGCCTCCGGTAACATTACCCATTAACACAAACCCACCTCATAAATGGAAGACGCTCCACCCAAATTGTCTGGTAATTTCTGCATTGAGGACGACGATGAAGATGATATTCAGGAATCAGGAGAATTGAGATATTCTGGGCTATTCAATCTTCACTAATTTTACTCGTTATATTTTTTTTTTTTTTCCCGTGCTGGATTTCATTTTGCGAGAAAAGATGTTGTATGGGTTTTGCAAAAATTTTACAGGGGACGACGAAAGGCGTGACCAGTGGCCTCGGATGAAAACGATGCTAAAGATGGAAAGTGAATGATGGTGGAAAATAGATCCGACCTAAGCGGGTGAGCTCAGGAGGACCACCCACCAACCCTGGCACAGAGAAGTTTCTTTTAAAAAAGCAAAGAAAGAAAGAAAATAATCTTCTAGGTGAGTAAAGTGACGATGGAATTCAAAAGAGTTTGGTTTGATTAAGAAAATAAGGGAAGTTCGGATATGTGGTGTAACAAATTTCTTGAAATTATGTTGTTTACATCCATTCTTGGAGTGTTAAAGAATTTACGTGACATAGGCCATATGTGGAAAAGTCAGATTTGTTCTTGGTGGCATTTTTCTTTTTTTCTTCTCTCTCTCTCTCTCTCTTTTGAGCAGAAAATCCATTAGATTGAGAGACTTTATTTTTTACCCCGAGAAAAGGCGACAAGCAGGCAAGAAGCAGCCATAAATAATAAATTGATTTTAATTATTCTTTAACACGGATTAAGGTGTTAATTACTCATTTAGTGGTATTTATAAGTCAAACTGGTTATTTTTGTCTAAAATTTTAATAATTTTTTAAATTTATATTTATTAAATATATATATTTTAATAACATATTTTTTCTCTAACATTAATAAAAAATAATAAAGAAAATTTGTTATGAAAATTTAATAATATAATTTATAAATAAAATATGAAAAAAATCTCTACTTTATAAATAAGATCAAAGGTAGTGTTTTTAACAGTTGATTTCTAAATTTTTTTATTAAAAAAATTTAAAATATGCTTTTGAATATTTATTTTATATAAAATTTCAATTTAATCCTTAATTTTATAAAATATATTTTTAGTTATTAAATTATAACGCAATTAATTTCAAATGATTATATTTTCTATCAATAGTTAACATTTAAAAAATGTTTGTTAATATTTAAAAATTTAGAGTAATTTTTTTTATGATAGTTAAAGGATTAATGAGTTAAATTCAAATGTTTTGTTTAGATTTAAAAGTTCATTGTAAACCTTCATTTTAAACAATAATTAGTCCATACTTAACCTTAAAGTAGAACTATCATGATATTTATAACTAATTTAATAATAAAAATATTATGTAAAGAAAAGGATCAATCTTGGCTATATAAAAACTCAAAAAAACTAAGTAAGAAAATCATATAAAAATGGGATCTCATAAATTATTAAATCTCAAAATTGAGTTTAAAAAGTCATCTAAACATTACAAATTAGAGTAAAAGGTGTTTAAAAAGCATGAAAAATAATTTGATTTAAAAATAAGTTAAAATGAGATAAAAAAAGTTATTTTTTTTTAATAGAGGCACTTAGCCATGGCTAAAGCACATTAAGCTGCAGTCGACACTTTCAAAAAAGATTTGGCTATGGCCAGTTCCTTTTGGCCGCGGCTAAATGGTCTCCACCACTTCCTTGGTCGTAGCCAACAATCCATTAGCCGCTACCAAAAATATGATAACATTTGTCATGACAACTACCAACTACTAACTTTCGCCGCGCATAACTTTTAACTCAAATCTCTAATTAAGGTAATTCAAGCATCCACATGTCAATAATTTCATAATCTAGCTAATGGTTTTGGTTTATGTCAATTTGATATCATATGAAGAATTTGGACACCCAAAACCATAATTTCATATTTTTTTTTCCTCTAAATCATCAATCGAGTGTCTAAATCTCAAATCATAAGCCATTAGCTCACGGAAAGGCTTGAACCACACTTCATAAATCTTAATACATTTGTCTAAAAAGTCACAAAAGAGTTGACCACCCAACCACTATAAGGCACATGATAAGGGGGTGGAAATATAATTATTTGCATTCAAACTAAATAATCACTCAAAACATATTAAACTCAGCTAACCTGTTAAGATATACTTGTTCAAATTATCTTGCATACTACCATCTCAAATTAGGGGTTTTGACTCTACTATGGCCAAGACAATTAAAAAAATGACTCAATTCAATGTTTGAGGCTACAAATGCAAGTGAACTTCAAATAAATATGAGCCAATGTGAAAAACCCTTAGTTAGAAAATATTATATTTAAATTACACATAAAAAATAAAACTAGAGATATTATAATTGATTACTCAAACTTTAACTTCAGAGACATCCCCTTTGCCCTTAGCTTAATCCTCGTATGTAAAATTAAATTATGGGAGTGAGATTAACATTTCAGTAACTAAGTAACTTAATCAAGCATATTAAAGTGTGACAATCACAACAATTAAGCATTTAATATCACATAAGGCAAACCAACATTATTCACAATGCATCTTTATAATATGTTTCACATGTTAAATCCAACCACCTTATACCACTCCTTATATCATCTAACCGAATTCTATAAATATCAAACGAAGCCTCTAATAAGCTCAATCAGCACCAACAATGGTCAATTCAAGTGATTAAAAGCTTCAAATAGACTCAATTAAATGTCCACAACAAACCCTATTAAAGCTCTCCTCTATCACCATCAAACTCTCACTTAATTCTCTAATTTTTGTGAACTGAAATGCAAATTTGGAGATTTAAAAATTGAATTTTGACCACGGCAAAGACCACGAATTAATGTTCCGAACATAATCCATGTAATTAGTTCAAATATAGCACAATATCACCCAATGATCAATTTTAAGCACTAATTAAAATTCAATAGATCATTAGCTATTCGTACATTATCTTTTAATTAAATTAACTCGTCTAATTTATGTTTAATAACTCAATTAATCTTGAGTTAAATTTTGTAAAATGTTACATTCATTATATGTTTTTTTGTTATATAACAACTTAATGTATGTTTGATTTTTAATTCACATTTAATAAAAATATATTTAAAAAATTTAACTATTTGTTAATTTTTTAAAAGTATATCTTAAATATGAGTTGAATGTATTTTTAAAACTCATCCAAATAAATCTTTGATTAAGAGAGATCTATCAATTATTTTTTATATTTCATAAGAAATATTATTTGCGAGTTGAATTAATTTATTAACCTAGAGTTAAGCTTTAAAATAAGTCTAGCCAAAATTTAATAGTACTTCTATCTTAAAAAATTGAATATTTCCATTCAAATAATAATAAATAGGAATTGCAACATGACAATTATTATTAAAATTTAAATATTTTATTTATAATTCATATTGTAAAATCTAATTATTATTAATTCCCCCCGTTTAAGATGAATAGATGACAAGGGAATTGCTGTTTCATTCCTTCTTTTGCTGCAGTTGCAGTGGCCCAGCTTACTTCTTCGCCCTTTCCACAAGTTTCTTTTATGTTTTCTTTCCAGTCTGTTTTTTTCCCCCTCTTTCACAACATCGCAACCTCTGATATTTAAACTCAAAATCTAATTCACCAAATTATCACCAAGTTGAGTACAGTGAAAAACTTCAAATGCTGACGAATTAATAAAGGAAAATGAACTTGTATTTTATTCACAAAACCACACTCATCTTAACACAAGTTCATATGGCAGAACCAGTTTCCAAGCACAGACGCTAACATTTTTTCTTTTAAAACAAAGATAAATATAAACCCAGAACGAAAGCAGAGAACCGTAGTTCCTTGTTCTCAACCAGAGATCTCGATGGCCTTAACCTCAGGCTTCTTAACTTCTTCCTTGGGAACAGTGACAGTGAGAACACCATTCTCCATGGAAGCCTTCACTCGATCCATCTTTGCGTTCTCCGGCAGCCTGAATCTCCTCAAGAACTTGCCGCTGCTACGCTCCATGCGGTGCCACTTGTCGTTCTTGTCTTCTTTCTCCACGTTCCTCTCTCCGCTGATCTGAAGCACCCTGTCGTCTTCGATCTCAACCTTGATCTCCTCCTTTTTCAGCCCTGGAAGATCGGCCTTGAACACGTGTGCTTCCGGGGTCTCTTTCCAATCAATCCGAGTTCCTGCGAACGCAGAATTTTCCCGAGAAAAAGTTGAGAGAGCAGAGGTGGAGGGAAAGTCCTTGAAGGGATCCCAGACGTCGAAAGAGAAGGGATCGAAAACATTTCTCCTTCGGCCCGCCAAAGAAACTTGGGATCAACGACATCTTCTAATCGTGAAGGTTCAAAATTGGAAGAGAGAGTAAAAAAGTGCCCTGATGGTATTGTTGCCTACTCACGAATTGATAATTAATCGATAGTGTTTCACTGACGAAGAAGAGTGGGACACATCGGGTATTTAAAAAGCAAAGGGGAGGAGGAATCCAGAACTTTCAGCTCAGTTTCTGATATTTCCAGAAGGGTCTCGTCGTTTCACAACGATGATGCAGATGTCATATTTTTGCTCAACTTTTAAGATATTATTTGATTGGAATGAAAGGAGAAAAAAAATTTTAAAAATTTTTTCTCCCTTTTCCTTCTAAAACCACCCCCGTCTTCCTTCTCTCTCCTTCCCTCTTCCTCACCCTCATCACCTTCCTTCCCTCCATTTCCTCTCTTTCTCTCTCTTTTCTTTCCTTCTCTTTGAAGGAACAGGGCCTAAAGATACAAGGTTATTGACCTTTAATGTCTTACTTTATAATATTTTAAATTTTCAATTGATTTTCTTATTAAAAAAATACTTTCTAATTGTTTTATTATTTTTTATTATTATATTTTACTTAATAAGAAAAATTATCATGTTTTATGATAATGAAATAGTGCAAGTTTATTTTTTTTTAAAATTTTTAAATCAAAAAATCATAAATTGTGTGGTTTTGATATATTTTTTCTTAAAAATTATTAACAAATAAAAAAATTATTATGTATTGAGATGTCTCTCATTTCATATAAAAGGTTTATGAGAATTAATGGGGTTGAATATAATAAAAAGGATTAGTCTTGCATAAAAACAAATAAGATTCAAATTTTTTTAAGAAAGGCACTTGTATTTAATATTTGATCATATCTCAAACCTTCAATATTTATGAGTAATAAAAAATTTAAAAAAGACATCTTCTAACTGTATAGCTGCAAAATTGGAAGCGAGAGCAGAAAGTGCCCTGATGGTATGTTGCCTACTCACGAATTGATAATTAATCGATAGTGTTCACTGGCGAAGAAGAGTGGGACCACATCGGGTATTTAAAAGCAAAGGGGAGGAGGAATCCAGAAACTTTCAGCTCAGTTTCTGATATTTC